TTATATCTCTTCGAGACTCGACTCTTATTTCGCGAAAATTGTGAACCGAGAAGGAGAAAGGGGGATGAAGAAAGAACGCAAGCGAAAGAGAGTTTCATTAACTCTCAGTTCTTTCTCTCTCTCTCTCTCTCTCTCTCTCTCTCTTTCTCTTTCTCTCTCTCTCGGGAAATATTTTCCAGTCACGAGAATTATCAAAATGATTTCAACTGAGACTAATTAAAGCTTACATAACGTTTTGCAAACGCAGAAATATAATATTTTTAGTGCCACTTCGTGCTGGGAACTAATTAACGAGCGAGCGTGTTGCGGTTGAAATTATAATATAAAATCGCTATCAAGCAGGTATGCCGTATAATAATATGATGCCGTTTCACAATGACGGGATTGGCGTGTGCCCAATCGTTTGTCGAATGTGCAATGGAACGGAAAATCCGGTAAATTTAATGAGATTTCCGTTAGAAGAGAAAGAGTTGTTCTCTTGATAAGCGATAGCTGCAGCTATCGCGAGGAGGAAAGCCGAAGGATTCACGATCATGAAAACCAGTACGAAAATATCGCAATGATACGCCTGCTTTCTTTTTATTGTTTCTTGACCCACCATAAACCGCCAGGAATTTAGGTATCTCGTATAGCATAAAACAAAACCTATCCTGTCGCGTAATTACGTCTCTTATCAACATGATAGAAAAAGGTGGTTTTGTTTATTTTTATGAAACGCTTGTCGGTTGATTGACGTTTATCTTAGATGGATCGCGTGATTGGATAATCTTATCACAACTCACGCACTCGTACACTCGATGTATATAGTTCGATAGATATTCAACTCTGGGTGTGAGAAGTGTGTTGAACAATGAACTATTTCTATGGAACTTTCGCACGAATCGCCATTTTCGATACTACTCATCTAAATACAGTCATCATCAAATTATATCTACAATCAGATTATTTGACGATGAATAATATCGTATAATTATAGCTCGTGCTATTATTTTCAATTTGTTAAGATTAATATACAGGGGACATAACCTTCGGTTAGCAGCAATTGGCAGTAAAAACTGTGAACACAGGAAATATATTATTTGTTTTTTTTTTTTAATGGAAGGTTGAGCTATTATTTCTCTTTATTATAAATTTTATCCTTATTAGAATAAAGTCATGCATGCTTGACTACAATAATAACTTACAGCGTTATACTATTCTTCTAGCAAAACATCTTCACGGAAAAAAAATGACTTTGCTGAAATATTTAAAAATTTAGATGACAACAGATGTGAAAATTAATTTTATTGGATCATTAAAATTTAAAATAGTTATATAGAAAACTGAAGCAGGATAAACAATGTTACAAAAAGTTTTGATATTCTATAGCAAACAGAACATCTATTATAATTATTTTGATAATTATTTTGATAATTATTTTGATAATCCAATAAAATTTTTAGATCTGTTTCTATCTAAATTATTAAATACTTCAATAAAATGTTTTTCAATGTTTTTTTTTAATTGCTTAAAAAATATTAGAGAAAGAAACCTATTTTCTCCCTTTGCTTTTTAAAACTACAAATAATTCTATGATATTTAAATCACATAATTACATTAGTCAGGAAAAATGTTGAAATTTTAGAAAACATTTTGAGAAATACAATGAGAAGTAAGTTTTTTCTTCCAATCAATATCATTTACAATGGATGATCAAATTATATTAGAGTAAATTAACAATTTTACGTTAAAGCAATTACTGCTGCTAGTGTTTAAATGAAAACATAGCTGCGTTGTGTTGTTGTTTTTTATGAAATGTTGATGTTTATATATTTTAACGACCATTGTAGATAACACTATCTCTTCACATATACGCCATTTAATATAAACGTCATCAGTCACCGTAAGCCTCATGTTTCACGCTTGTTTGTTAAATTTTGAAATTATTCAAAATTTATTAACATTTTAATTACTTTTGTTGTATTCTTACAATATCTCACTAAGCAGTTTATTTTATGACATGTTTGTAATTTATAAGTATTAAATTATAATTAATTATGATTAATTATTATTATTGATTTATAGAAGAGAGATTTTTTTAACATGGGCAAGGGCAAAGATATCTTTCTCCAAGGAAACTTTCCGAAATAAAAATGCTGATAATGAATACTGAGCATTATTATGTGTACCGACCTTCATATGCTAATTTTATTTCTACTCAAACATAAAAAGTAAATTTTTCGAACTGTAGCTTTAATAATTTGATTATCTACCGTACTTAAACAATTTAAAGCTGTTTTACTAAAAGATTAATTACTCAACATTCTATTAATAATTATTAACAAGCATTGTGTGACTTTATTTCAATAAGGATAGAATGTATAAGCAAATAATGGGCCAATCTCTTATCAATAATAAAATAAATAAATTATTTATTTTCCAAGATTCATATTAATTTGTCTATTCCTGTATATATATATTGTGGGACATTACATGTATCCAGAAATAAGTACGTTTTTCATCTGCTAGAGAGTCTGTTTTCACGTTCTCCGCGTAGAGGATGGATGGCCACGTAAAAGTATCCCGTTACCACGGTAGCCCAGATACCGGATTACGGAGCACGAATTGTCAATCGCGTGCGAACGAGACGGGCTTCTTAAAAGGCCTTTTAAAGTGTTGTGGCAAGACGTTTAGACGAATTTCTCACCGTCAGATATTTATCCGAAACAATAGAAATTTGCACGAATCGGGTTTCCCTGAAAATTCTGAAATACCATTGATATTATTTCAGAATTCTGGGAAAGGAACATACCTATATAAGATCAAGTTATTTAAAGAATTCTGTTTTCCGAGAGTTATATGTCGCTGTATAAAAGTTTCAGATAAATGATTGATTAGAACTGATTTAATAGGAATGATGCCAAGACATTTATATTCGTTTTTCATCAAGTTGTTCATGTATTCGTAATCAAATTAACGTATCAAATTAACGGACCGTTATCGTAATATGTTGCTGTCCCATTAACATAATTGTTAACAGAACCATAAGGCGTCGGCTCGGCTGATCGGTATAATAGAGTAAACAAGCTGATGCTACACAGCCACTTAATCTTCAATTGTGCTACGTTTGTGGGTCACATTATAAGAATTTTCACGTGATGCAGTTCGACTAGCGTCTAGCCGAGCACTTTTAAACGCTTCTCATTCGGTGAATCAATTTCGCGTTAATCGAACCATGAGCCGTCGATAGAACATTATTCAACAAAAGAGCGGCGAGCGCATTCCAGCAAGCAAGGGAGATATCGACGAGATCGATAGTAGAGTCGAATTGGAGAGCAAGAACCTCAGCCCGGATTTCAGGAAATGCTTTCAGGCTGAATGCTCGTTAGAGGTTCCCGATAAGGCTTCCCATTTGTTATTTCAACAACACGTTCCACTGAATCATAATATCGATAATAACGTAATGCTGGGATGCCGGAGACCCGCGAGCTGAATAGCGCGAGTTTATGTCTTTCGACCGCCTATTTACAGAATGAACCCGCGAGCTACAATGAAAATGACTTCTTCTTTCAGTCTATTCTCCTGCTAGTTTTGCGAGGGGAATCCCTAAAGAGATCTTAATCGTTTGCTTGCATTCTCGTACGAAATAATAAACTGTGTTGCTTCATTTTCAGAGGAAGAATCGTTAATAATATATAAATCGTTAATAAATATATATTTAATATTTAAATAATATAAATAATATAAATAATTATTTAATAAATAACTTCACGTGCGTGAAGTTCAAAATTAATTACTTTTACATGAAAACAACGATTTTGCTGAAATATTTAAAAAAGCAGGATCTAAAAATAATTTTATTGAACTATCAAAATATAATGTGAGGCGTTCAAACTGATTATTAGAATACCAAAATTTTTTACAGTATTGTTCATTATGTTTTGAGTTTCTTACACGATTATTTTGATGATTCAATAATTATTTTCAAATCTGTATGCAGATCTGTATCTAATTATAATTAATTATCTAAATTTTTAGATAATTCAGCAAAATTTTTCCGTGTATTATTTGGAAATTAATTGATAAAAGAAGGAATTTCATAGTGTTGATTATGACGAAAAAAATGCTAAATGGACTGTGCCTGTTTGTCGTAATCACTAAATGAGATGTCCCAAATTAATGAGAAATTTGTGATTACCGGATGCCCATAGAGAGCTCTATTTTTTCACTCAATTATTACGGTAATTAACCTATTTGATACGCTATCGGCGTCGTATAATGATTCCCGAGTGTTGGAAGTGATGATAGTTCTTTTTAATTTAACACTCAATATGTGTCTGAAGCTTTCCTTTCTTAATATATATTATTTAAACGTTATTCTAAAGAATTTGCATGTTTATTATTGAAGCCTTTAATCCTATACTTTATTACTATTATTTTGCTCGTACGTTTTAAAGATGTTTATATTTTTATATATAATGTATATCTAATATGTACGCAATATTTGTAGATAAAAGACAGAGAAAAAGAAATTTAAACTTTTAATTTTGTTGTATACAGTATTTAGTGATAAAAGATACAAGTTTAAAGAACATTTCAAAAATAACAAATTTATACCTTTAATGGTATTGCAGTATTTGAAGAGAGATAAAAGATATACAGATTTAAAAATAAGTTTTTAGAATAATAAATTTACCTTTTATTTATTGATTGTAGTATTTGGAGATAAAAAATGATTTAAAAAATTTTAAGAATAATAAATTCTAAGAATAATAAATTTTAAAAATAATAAATTTATCTAGGCAGCAAGCTGACATTATTTGTTGTTATTTTGACATAAATAAATGACATCAAATAATGTTAGATTGCTACTTTTATTTTTATTTTTAATTGTATGTAGTATTTATAAGTTTAAAAAAGGATTTCAAGAATAATAAATTTACTTGTAATTTTGGTTGTATGCATTTTTGGAGACAAAAGATATATGATTAAAAGAAAGATTTCTGGAATAATAAACTCACCTTTAATTTTGGTCTCCTGTGGATCCAGAGGAGGTAATCGTGGATGAGTCTGCTGCCCTGGTTTCTTCAGCAGGACACCCACGACTTGCGGTGGCGGCATCATCATTTCCGCTACTCTTCCGAACGCCTCCTCTCACTTTCGAAGCATCAATTCACGTCGCTAGTCATATCGATATCGCACTCGTACATATCTCGATCGATGAAAAATTAATTTCTTCTCGATCCGTTTTCTTCTTTCGACTTCGTAAGCAGTAGTTTGCTAATATTAGACCTCCTTTCTAGTCCACTAGCTTTTTTCTTTTTGGCTCGAGAAATCGAAAATGAAAATTCTCTCTCTCACAGCGGAATCTCGAATTGAAGAAGCAGCTGCCAATCGTCGCTAATTGCTTTGTTGGCCGACAAGCTCGCCGCAAGAAAAGAGAGAGAGAGAGAGAGAGAGAGAGAGAGAGAGAGAGAGAGAAAGAAGAAAGACGATGAAGGCGCCGGTCGGGACCTCCTTTCCACTGGCGATGCTCCTTCTGCGTACCGCCTCGTTATCGTCCGCTTCGCTACGCCACTCGGCCGTCCTCCTTGTTGATTGGCGTCGCCCGGTATTTTTTTTAATTCGATCGGCGCGCGAGCGTGACCCCGCGCGTTCTCGGCGCGCCAAGAAGGACGCCAGCTCCGATTCGCGAGCTATTATCGCCGAGAGCAACACTCGTCGTGCAATGTTTGCGAGCCATTCGTTGACTAGTTCGCCAACGAGTTCATCAACGATCTTACCAACTCGCGTGCCAATCGAATCCTCATTCGAAGGCCTCAACCTCGTCGACAATCGGCGATTATTTCCGAGCGCTCGACGGAACCAATGATTCGGCTGCTCCAATCTGCCATCGTTCCGCGAGAATTCGTCCCGTGCTTCTCTTCGCTTCACACGTGCGTAACGAGAAAGAAGTAGAGGAACGAAAAAAGAAAGAAATGCGTCGATCAATCGTGACTAATTGAAGAATTAATTGTGTTGGTTGTTACAGCTTTCGAGACGCATTGAGAATCTATTAGTCTCATGCGAGCTTCTTCTTAATTTTAAAGAAGACGCGATGATGTCAATTGAAGGCAAAGACGTAATCTGCGTATAAATGTTCTTATCACTACGTGTTGATAAATCAAATAGAAGGCGACATCAGGTCATGAGAGTTTCTCGATCGCGAACTTTCGAGTTGAAAAGCCGACGCTCATCTATCGTTGCGCTCTTCGTCTCGTTTTTCCTGCATACACGATTTTCGGCCAGAATATAATACCGAATGTATCGATCGTAGCCGCATTCCGAGATTACAAAACGCGAATGTTAATGCAATCACAATATAAATTATAGAATTTTTATACGAAAGTTAATGCAATCATAAATTGTAGAATGAGAATGTTAATTTATCACGATTGAATTGCTTTTATAATCGACAATTGTAAGAATCACTATTTGCAATCACATGAAATTTAATCTGCCTTCATAATATTAGTGTATACACATCACGTTACAGACATTATCATTCGTGTAATACTCCGAATTTCTGGCGCGTAGCGCCAATTAAGCTGACTGCTCCGAAACTGATGACGAGAAAATTAAAGTCTCGATGATCAATTCGTTCTTTCAATGAACGTCACTTCCACCTTGTCGATCGATTGTGATTTCTATTAGAAATTAAATCGCTCTCTTTCTCTCTCTCTCTTTCGCGATTGTTACAACGGTAAGCAAACTTTTGTGAGAGACACTTCTGGCACTTCCGGTACTCGATGGAAATGACCACCCCCGCGGAGCGATCGATTTATCATCAGCGTTATCACTGTACCTCGTGCTTGCAAGAGGTGTGATCGATCCCTCACCAATTACTCCGGCGGCTTTGCACGCGCATCAACACGAAGTAGAGGAACGAATGACGAAACGCCAACGTTGTGACAGCTTGGCGCGCGCGCGGCGAACAACTGATCGTAGAACGAATACAGCCAACGAGAGAACGTATACCCTACTCGCTTGCCCGGTCCCCACTATCCACCATCTGCATCGGTTATCTTTTTCTTTTTCCGAACATGAGAAAAGGAGGGAGAGAAGGAGAGAGAAGCACGTAAAGAAAGAGAAACCCTTGTAAACCTTTTAATCAAATGTTTACAAGTACAACCTTTAGGACAACGTTAATATTTATATATTTTTTCCGTCGTCTCGCAATGATAAATGGTGTGGAAATGGTTTCTTGGAAATTGATTTCATCAATTTTCTGAATTAAAATCGCGAGTGCATAAAATCACATCTTGAAGAAGTTTGGAATTAGATTTTATTGAAAAATAAAAGATTAATTATCTAGAGATGAGTGTTGCATATTTGTAATTAATATTCATTTTAAAATTAAATTCAGGATAAATTTGGAGTAAATTCAAGATATGAGAGATCAGATATGTAAAAAATTTTATTTACGTACTTTTATTACAAATTTGATGTGAAAGCATTGTGAATTAAATCAAATTTTTGATATATAATATAATGATAAAATTTTAATAAATTCGTGTAATAGTTATTTAGATCCACTTAAAACGATGTTTTTAATGTATTAAATATTCAAAAATATACTCGACATTTTCGCGTCTCTTGATATTGTTTTGTTTCACTCCAACGCAACACCCGTCCTTATATAACATATCCAGCGTCATCTATCGCAAAACTGCGCAACTACTACTATATGGAATTTCGGCTCTGTCCAATTCGGAAATTTTTCACCGAATGAAAATGATGTAAAATATAGGACTTTAGCATCTCCAAGTACTGAAGATGGAAATGTATGTGGCATTGAACATAGAAGTACTTTCAACTGTCACAATGTCTATTCAATTGTGTGCTTGTGTCTATTGTATCGATCGATTTTATAGTTGCAGAATATTTTCGAGTAAAATCAGTAAAAAAAATTATTTTTCATTGACAAAACGATATGCTATCTCTAAAAGGATTAATGGAGAATTCTAAAGTATTGCTTTAGAATTCTCCATTTTAGAAGAGGATAATTGATATACACTTACGCGTTTTGCTTTAATGCAATTTTCTTGAGAATTTTTTGAGAAATTGATAATTATACGAATCACTGTTTGCATTCACATAAAGTTTAATCTGCCTTTGTAATAATGCAATTATTTCGTGAAATTTACTTGAGACACAGAAATTAATCTTGAAAGTTCTCTACTTCTTGTCTGTGTGTTATATTTATAAATTTAAATTTGACATTGCTTATGATAAGAATCGTATTGTTTGCGGAAACTCTCTCTCCCTCTCTCCCTCCCACTCCCCATCTCTCTCTCTCTCTCTCTCTCTCTCTCTCTCTCTCTCTCTCTCTCTCTCTCTCTCTCTCTATCTATCTATCTATCTCTATCTCTATCTCTCTCTTCAAGATTTTATTATCGTTGAGAAAGAACGCAACTATTCTTATCGTATCTAATTATTGCCAAGACTGTTATATATTAATAACTCGCTTCGAGTTTAATTGTATATTGTCTACGATATACCGCGCAATCACTAGTTTGCCTTTCGCCATCGACGGGAAGGATACGGAAACTGATATTTTTCAATCTCTTTTGCTACCGAGACGCAAGATGCGGGAACTCGATCTTAGCCTATGACGTGCGAAGGTTTCAAGACCGCCGATCTATGACGATAAAGTGCAAATTAAAAATGCGGTGACACACTTTCACCGTTAAGTACCTCTACTATTCGCAACGTAATGGCTACCATTCAGCTTCTGTCTGGGCAATAGACGCGCGTAAAAATTTCGCGTAATTGTTATGATCGCGAATAAAATAGGTCTTGTCTGGCAGAAAAAAATCCCCCACGAAATAGGACTTCTGTCAGAGAGACGAGGTTATTGTTATGAAAAAACATATATTCGCGTGATTCAGTTTGCTCTCCCATTCGGTCGAGCCATCTCATCCGTTTTCTTCGAAAATCTATTTGGGAGTGCAACGAAACTGCAACGCAAGCGAACAAAAGCGACTGGAAAAAGTAACCATATACTACTATCGACCGTGTTATGCTCTGGGGATATCGCCCCTTACATTGCCCTGTCAGGACTCGAACATCATAAAACTTCAGAAAGTGTCACGCGATTTGCGCGCATGCAATAGCGGCGACGACATATTATAGTTGAATTTCGTACATTATAACGCTCGGGGTCTGGATATTAGAATTTAAAACGTGGAAGACGTTCTCCGTATTCATGTATGTGAAGGCTATTTCACAAGAGACACTATAATATATACTATAAATAAGTAGAGGGATAAAAGAAGTGAGACGGAATAATGCAGATTTGTGACTGTTTTGCGGAAAATTCAATCAAAAATATAAACAATATAAACAATGTTATATTATATAACAAATTTCATTTATTTATATAATATAATAGTTTATAATGAGCTTCGCTTTCGACCGTTATTCTCTGTTTAATTATGACGATCTTACACGAATAAAGGACGGTTTTTTTGAAATATCTAAAAATTTAACTATTTGAAAACAATTTTGTTGAGCCATTAAAATAATTGGACACTCAAATTGATTGCTAGAGTGCTTTTTGTAGTATTGCTAATTGTGTTTGAGATATATTATTTTTATCTTCATACTATTATATATTTTAAATTACGAAATTGTAATTTAATTGAGATAATAGTTTTAAGTGAAATAATACAATGTATTAAGTAAAATAATAAAGTTGTTTGAATTAACGAAATTGTAATTTGAGTGAAATATAATATTTTGAGTTAAGTAATACAATGTTTGAATAATGCAACAAATGTTTCAGAGTAAATAAAGAATTCAATTCTGGTCAAAAAATTTTAGGTAATGATACTATATTACTTAAAAAGTTATAAATCATATTGTTCATTAACATACGATTGGATTGTTCCAATGATTCAATTTCTTTGAATCTCAAATTTTCAAGAAAATTTTTTAAATTTAAATCTTTTAATTCTTTTTCTCTTTATATTATATAAAAAGATATAATCCTGTTTTAAAAAATACACAGAAAGAAAGATTTATGTGAACTCGAAATTCCTATATATGTTTATTTTTCTGAAACAATTTAGTTTTAAATGAAAACTATTTTGTTTAATCCTTAAATGCAATCAATTACGTTTAAAGAATCGATTTGGTTGGAAATTATTACTACATTTATTAAATTCTAAAAAAATTCGCGAAAAAATCGCTTTCTCTTTATATTGAAGTGACCTTCGTGTTTTTTCATCTCCTAAAAAAAAACGTGACCAAAATATGTCCTCCTCGAAATTCTCTGAAATCGTTCCACTTTTGTTTGAAATGTTTTTTCGTATTTTCTATATTTTTCAAAATATTTGTTTGTTGAGATTAAAAAATGAATCACTCTACAC